CCCCTCACCCCTCACCCCGCCATAAACACACACAAACTCGTGCACACACTTACACACACGTACCCTCCCCTGCCCCCCATACTCAAACGCAAACACGCTCTCACACAGACATACACACTCACACGCGTGCGCATGCACACACACCCACATGTATACACACACATGTTCGTGTTGGTGATCGTCCTCATTTACCATGTCGAAGTAGGCCAGCAATTATCATTAATCCTCATGCCGGGGCTACAATTATCATCCATTCTGAACGTATGGGGTCTGGAAGAACACCAAAAGAAATTCTAACTCATTGAATGTTCCATTGCAATTTCTGGCTGTAATTGGTCGCTTTCAAGCACACGGGGGCTATCCCGAAAAACGCTGTTTTGACCAAATCGAAGGTAAAGTTTTTGGACCCTTGTTCAGTTTCTCTAAAATACAGGAAGAGTTATCTCTATAACCAACCAAATATACACACCAATGAAACCAAACTTCTCCTCTAGGTTGCTTGAATTAAAAGCTTGATAGGGGATGTCAGTAATTATGGTTCGGACTACACCAAATGGACAACTTGTCGACCTCATTACACAGAAACTAAGTGGCAAATTGCCCTGTTTTTTGTCTGTGCCTCTGAATTTCAAAAACCTAAAAAATCTCAATTTTCGTGCACATGCGACAAATACTAAGAGGTGTTTTCTATATAATCATTAGTATTTAATTACAGTCTGCGCGGTGATTTTTTATTTGACCAAGTTCGTGTTTTGTCTGTTCAAATCTTTTTTTTTTTTTTAAACTGACTGCATAAGCCGCAAGACTGAGTTGTTTTCTGTTCAGCGGTTAGTGCGTGACTGTGGGTTTATTTTGATTGATCACAATGAGTAAACTTTCTTTCATATCTTCCGCCTTTGAGATCGCATGCGTTTCAATTTGCTGTCGCCTTTTCATAAATCACCATGGTTAGATTACTCCGTTTACAACCCCTCAAAAACGTTGCCTTAAAACTACCTATTTCTCCAAAGAAGCTGATCGAGGTTGCCTCTTTTATTCTATAACAAATCCCCCAAAAAGGACAAGACATGTTTGTGTAAAAGGGGATGGGGGGAGGGGGCTCAGCCTATGGACCTGCACGGGG